TAAATATTATATTTCTATTTTACTTTGATTTCAAAGTAGACATTAACTTCCTAATTAGAAATCTCGGCATCTACCTAATAATAATGCCATGAATAATGCTACTTACATAGCAGTTTTAAACTGTAAGTCTCAAAGCATTTTAACTAAGAAAATACTGTTGTATTAATCTTATAGACACGGAAACTGCGGCACAGTAAAAAATTAGTTGCTCCCATTCAGCAGGCAGAAGTTGTGTCTGGTCAGTGCTCCAGCTGTAAGAACTATCAGCCCAAGAAAAATAATTGAAACATTGGGTTTTTTTAGTGCTCATTAATTTTTGTTTATTTCTCAAGAACCTTGCGAGATAGCCTATGTGTCCTTCACTGTGTTCAGGCACCAGTATGGCAAAACAAGTAGGAACTCAGAGCAGACAGTTAGGTGACTAAAGATAGTCATTTAAGCTTGCGCTAGTCACCCTGGGTTTCCTTCATACTCAGTGGAGGAAAAAAGGGTACATCTGGAGGGATGATTTAGTTCACACAAAAATAAGTACCTAATGCAGGCTAGACGGAGGTGCTTGTTTCTTTTCACTGATTCTAAAGGAGAGTGATGAGCTTAGACTTGCACAAGTAGCTCTCAAACATTTTAAGTTATGAGAGTGGTCCTTGCAAACTCATAGGACAAAGGGAAAAACACTCTTTAAACTGCTCGTGATTTCTAGCCCATATACATGTAGCTACTTTTTCTCCAACGTTATACTTTTGTACATTATTTGGGTGAAAACTTTCCAGTCAGGTGTTCATTTAATCAGTTGCCCTCTTAGCTGTTTATTTTATTTATTATCAGCCAACGTGACAAAAAAATTGTCAGTTGTATGAGAGCTGCATCTGCCTCGACAGGCCTAGATTTGCAAGGAGTTTGTTTTCCATACCCCTTGCACACTCCCCGCACCTGATACCATTCCACAGGACGGCAGCTGAGATCAGCTACCGCCTCTTACCTGCACTGAGGGATGCTCAGCAGTGCCGACACCACAACTCAGTCTCACAACATTAGTTCATTTTCAGGTCATGCTGACAAATGTACCTTTTCACTCAAACTTCACTAAATGCTGAGGACAAGCGAAAAAGGATTTTTATCTTATGGAATGTCACATTTGTTGAGAGGTGCAGCATCTTAAATTTTGTACAATATTTAGAATAGAATAGAATATTACATTTTTATTCTGTTTTCCTCTTAAGTCCTGAGTTTGCTGAGTTTCATTACATAAAGGCATTATTACAAGTACATAAGTATTCATTTAAAAAAAAAAAAACCCAACATTAATTTTATAAGTTGCATGTATTTCAAAACTTTCCATTCCTAGGGACAGATTCCCTCTATTTCCAATACATATCGCTTCGATAATAATGTCATTTTCAATTATAATATTTTTCTGGTGTTGACAGAGGAAAGAAAGGAGCAGCTACACGTCATATTTGTGTGGCACTACACCAGCTACATCTCAGGAGACCTACATCGAATTCTCAATTTACCACACACAATCACTAAGGAAGACGACTCAGATGTCCTTCACCCAGCCCTCCCACTTACACATGCAAAACAAAACAAACACACAAAGGGTTGCAACGACAAAAGCCCAGATTTGCTTCTGTACCGAAATGTGTCCCTTACATGGAAAGGACCAGGAAATACAGCACTTGATGCTCTAGGAGGTTAAGCACCTCAGCTTTACTATAACCAATTAAAAGCGAATAGCCATAAAAGTGCAGATACTACTGTAGGGTAATAAACCAGACTTTATCAGTGACAGTGGTGCACATTACAAACTTCAAACTCATTCCTTGCTCTAATCCATCAGAAACTTCCTGGCTTTAACAGGCTATAAACAGCAGAAGCTTTGAAGTCCAAGGATTAGGATCACTAATAGACAGACTGAACGACAGACTGGCTGAAGAGCCAAGTGGAATGCCCTGCATGGACCTGGAATAAAACAAGTTAATTTAATCAAACTGACCTCTCCCTAGCCATAGGCCAAGAGATTACAATGGTTATAACAGCAATAAAGGGACAAGGGACACTAGAAACAAATAGTTATTTGCTTCAATGCAATGCTTAGGCTAATGTAAGGGCAAAACTGCCTACGCTTTCAACCGTGCTCTCAAATCCACAATTTTAAGCTCTACAGGCAAAGGCTTTGTTTTCTTTTTTTTTGAAACTAGTTTATGACTCAGTGGTAATTGAGGCAGAAAAAAATTGAACACACTTTAATTTTCAAGAATTTCTAAATGCAAGATTAATACAATGATTTAACAAAAAAGATCATTCTAATGATTTATTTGCTTCGACTCTCCTGTATCTCGGACTCACTCAAGGGAAATGTGGAAACAATCCATTTGGGTTAAATCCACCTGCATTCAGTGCTCACAGAACTGAATATAAGACTAAGCATTTCTGCTTTTAGAAAAAAAAACTTCTTACTGCAAGAATTCCAGTTATCATCAATTTACACACAACACTTCTCACTCCAAAGGACTGCAAAACCTTTAATAAACCACTAAACTTGAGGTGTTTAGCACAGCAGTATTACAGAACAGTTTTTAAAGCAAACAATAAAGCTACCCTGCTTTAAACTGGAGCAAGTTGCCAAAATGGCAAATGAGCCAAGTGAATGGTAGCAATAGCTTGGCTCTGAGAAGCTGTTAGAAGACGGTAAATTGAGACAAGTGGTCAGGGATTAATTTTTACATTGTATCTTGCCGCTATGCAGAATAGCTAACTTTGAAGAGTGGAAAACAGCAGCAGCTGAAGCCTCTGAAAAGAGAATTACAGGGCAAGGAGTCCTAATGACACACTTCATTCCCTACAGAAGACAGAAGAATCCACAAGGTTCTGCACCACCAAATATATCATTTTTTTTGAACACGTATTCTTAGAAGGCAACATTTCTTTTCCCACAAAATCACCGCATTTTCAGATGAGAATGACAGATTCGTATGTACAGCATACAGGAAACAAACTCATTTACAGCTACTCTATCTACAGTATTTAATCAAGAATGAGAAGAGGAGGCTTTAACTGCCCAGAACAATGCTCAGGATTTTAGTATTAGGGTTCGGAACTTGGAAGAACCTCATCCTAGGAAGCAATAAGCATGGAAATAAAACGAGCAGCGCTGGAGCAGCTGCCTGGCACTGGAGAGGATTACCACAAGCCAAGCCTAGCTACCTTCCTTTACATGGGGCAACACCTCTTGGCTCTCCATTTACTCCACGGTGATTTCGTAAAGGAATTCACCAATGCCAGGACCGATGCTTCCAGCCGAGGACCTGGGAGAAGAGCAAGAGCAGTATGGTCTCGTGAGGCAGACCGCCCGGAGCTGGGAAAAAAGGCAGCTGGTGGGAGACGGAGCAGCCATGGCACATGCAGTGGTGTTACATGGAAGGAGACAGAGAAACATGGGATTAGGATCTTGGGTTTGAAAATGTAGGCAGCAAGCACGAGACTGAGGTCCTAGCACGAGGGGATACAGTACAGCAGCATGCCAGGCCAGCAGATACCCATGCCAGCAAAGCACACCTCAGCTACTGAAAATTAAACAAATCAATTCAGCGATTTACAGCACTGAGTTCACACTGGAGTCATTAATATACTTCTGAAACCAAATCTTCTTCCAAAAATCTACACATTTAAATCATTTGGGAAAAGGTCTGTGAATGTGCCCTCATTTTACAGTAACCATGAATTAAAAAAATTTAAAATACCATGCAGATATTCACCAGATTCACTCATAAAGACTATAAAGAGCAACATAGTATCATATGTGTAGGAAACAGAAACATTTAAAAAAGGCACATATGTCTTGTCTTACTGGGCTAGCTGTAACATTTTCACAAGATATTCTGGTGGTGTGGGAACTTCTTTTCGGGCACCCAAAATGTCCCAAGTTTTCATTTCATCAGTCAAAATATTCACTTATTTTATAGCTTCAAGCATTCAAACTACTTTGCTGCTTTGACCTACATTTGCCCTAGAAAACAGCGTAGCAGAAGTAGTATTCACTGCGATGAGAGGGTGTCTACAGAGAAATAAAACCAAGCACTGACAAATCAAAGATGGGTCTCTCCTTACCACTCCCCAAAATAATGTTGAAGACAGAAACGTTTCTGTAACTATTGCATCTGTTACCTTTGATTCAGAAGTTAGCAGCACAACCACTGGTATGCTTTTTTCTTTTAATCTACTTTGGCCTTTCTCATTTCACTTTCAAAAATATTGCCACAAAAAAATCCCAATTTATTATTTTGAAAGTAACCATGAAATACTTTTCAAAGACGTATTAATGAAGGAGAAGAGAGGTCATTCCGTAAGAGGTGCAAGTAGTCACGCTACCCCCCAGTTTCACCCTCCTCCACCACACCTACCATGGGGTCTTACCTTCCGGCGGATTCTTATTCTGGTTGTTCCAGACAACTAACAATTTGGATAGACTAGGCACTTTAGACACCTCCGTGATGACTCGGAAAAGGCTCTCCACCCGGTCATAGGTCAGAACTATGGCTGTGAAACCTTGGGACTGAGGTGGGATCAGTGGAAGGAAGAGTGGGTTGCTCACACTGCTCCACTTCTGTGAAGAAAAACAAGAAAATAGCAAAACAATTTGATCAAAGTGACTTATCACAGTAGGGAGTAATTGTTACAGTAAGGAGTAATTCAGGTAGCCAGGACCTAACCGTCAGATTTGGAATTTGCTCAGATCAGGCAGGTTGACTCTCCAATTCTGGCAACAGTGGACTTCAGCAATTTCTCAAAACCTTTATTCCAATCTCTTTCCTAATTCAATTTTCATTTATAGCTAGCTGTAACATTGCAGACAAGAGGGGTTTTAGGTAAAAAATGAAGTGGAAGAGGCAGATAGATTTGTGGAGAAGGAAAACCAAGGTGAATTTTGAACCCAGATAGCATGACTCAATTCTCATTTACTAATCACTATTTCAAGACATCTATATTTATAGTCAGGACTCAATAAACAAAGAGAAACTTAATCAGCACTACAATTTCAGAAGCAAAAAAGAATTAACAACAACAAAACCAAAGCAGCAAAAACATAAACCTGGCATAAAATGTGTACCCAAGCAAAAAAGCGAAAAGCAGGCACTTAGAGGAATAATGTACTACCTTCCACAAAACCGTGGTTGTTCAATGGTGAAAAAAACCACCTATTGCATTTAAAAAAAAAAAAAAAAAAAAAAAAAAAAGAGGCATGAGATGCAAAGATGAATTTCAGAGAGTTATCTACTGCTTGTGAATTTTAACTAAGGCATCCCTTCTAAGACTTTAAAGGTCTTACTTCAATACACTGCCAGCACAAGGCAGCCAGCTCAACTGGCACAAGACAAGACAGACAACTAAATTCTCACTGAACGTGCCAACCTCCTTTGGAGCCGACAACGAGGGGGAGGAAGCAGTGAAGGGACCATTCGACAGGAATGAAAGCGTCGGCATTTCAGTCTCAACTTTTCCATTCCAGCTGATGTTCCAAGCAGGGGTCGGACAGAGAAGCAAAGGGAAAAACAAGACCTTTTGGGAGGAGGTGAAAAGGGGAGTTGGGAAAGCAGAAATTGAGTGATGCTGTTTTGCAGGGAAGTCTTGAATCCCTAGCCTGTAAAAACTATGAACGCTCATAAGAAGTTAGTAATTGCTAGCAGTTTACAGAAATACCGTGAGAATCTCCAGCTAAACTCATACCATAAGTCTGCTTGTATCAGGAGGAAAGCAAGTTTTACACACTCAAAGTTATCAGCTCATATTTGCAGGAAATAAATTTTGCAATTTTCCGTTTCCTTATTTAGTCTTTGCGTTACTTTATACACCCAACAATCTCCCTCCTCCTGTTTAGTGGTTAGACACCTCTAATTAGAATAACTTCAAGGACGAGGAGCATAGAAAGCCTATTTAATAAAAGAGATCATAACATTTTGTCCATTTTGGCAAAGGAGAAAAAAACATGATGTGAATATGATTTCCTTCTAGAACACATCAACACTGAAGGGGGGATAAATACGTGAGGTTAAAAAGAGACACTTAAAGTTAAGCACAGCATTGGCACACAGTTTTATCCAGGATGGTCTAAGGGTATGTTCCAGGCAGTAGGAGTAATACCCTTTAGTAGACTTCCTGAAATAGTTGGAAAGACGGACTAGTCTTCAGCTACACGTACTTTATCAAGTCCGGTACAAGTAGCGTTCAACAAAAACTGTGAGTTTCCTAATGGAAAGCATGAATTTCTAGTTTTTACCCAACAGGACTAATAGGATAATGTAGAAATAGTAACAGCATAACATGGAACTTCGGTTCATGAAAGGGACATGGCTACCTGTGATAGCAGAGGACTACACTCAGTAATTCAGAAAATATATATCTATTACTTTAGCAAGTGACATGTGCTGAGACAAATCTGCTTTCAGATTATTACATTTTCTAAAATTAAAGCTTTTATACATATTTTTGCTAATTTTACAAGACGACTGGTGGCAGATGGGGACAGAACTCTGATTTTGCTCCAGCTTCAGTAATTCCTATAGCAAATCACAATCTAAATGTTACCAGAGCATTATCCATCTCATTAAAGCTTTACAGACTCGTTTCCACACAACCCCCACCCCAAGATTGCTATTACCCAAATGACCCTTGTAATGTCGAGCAGCTTCTTAAAACAACTTTCAGAAACCTCTTTTCATTAATGCTTGAAGCAGAGGTTTAACATCATACTCAGTAGAGTGCCAAGAAAATCTTACGCTTCTGCCCTACAAGAAGAAGTAACTGGTAGAGTAATCTACGGACAATGCTGTATTTACTACTTATGGGTGAGTATTGCCACATAAATTAATGGCTCCCACTTGAGGTTTATCTAGCAACTTTTTCTCTCTGGCCACAGCATTTTCTAACAAATTAATTGCTATAATATCCTTGGAAAAGGACTATTCCTGTTCTATCACCTAAGACTATTTTAGGTACTTACAGAAAAAAAAATACAAATGTACGTGTGCAAGCACATGCATATGTGCCTAAAAAATTATCATGTTTTCTCTCAAAAACCTAAGCTTTAGGTACATGACTTAAATTCCAACTTTTACTACTTTCAGAAAGGCATGAAAATTCTCCCCTGCTGGTTATAACTTAGGAAAAATAAGGCAACTTTTGAGGTGTTTTTGCTCATGCATCTACTAAAGGATGATGGAGGGAGGGAAAAGCCTGTAGACACTCACTAATGGATGGGAGAACCAAGCCTCTCATTTGAGAAAAACATTTCAAAAAGGCAATTAAGCATCTCTCAAGTGCCATTAAAAGCCAACCCCCTGCTGCCTGCCTGAAGAGTGTGTCTACAGTCTGAGACCTATTGACCCCACTTTCTGCAGGAAATCGGGCAAATTCAAGCCTCCATAATTTGCTAAAGTCTTCCAGATTTCTGCTCGGGAAAAGCAAACCATACAGGCAATTAATTCAACAGCAACCTAATTAAATTGCCATTATGGCAGCAAAGCATGAAATGGATAATGACATAGGGATGGGTTCTCCCAGTCACTGCTCAAGAAACCAAGTGGTGAAGGAACATTTGCTCCAGTCCCATCTTCGTTAACTTTCTTGACGGAAATTCACAGGAACTTTCACTCTCGGAGAGAAGAGCAAACAGCAACAGTGGATTGATCATCCATCACCTTTCTTTGACAAAGTGCTGACACTCAGCTATGGATAAGACAACCCTTCACTCTTGCCTTCTCAGCTAATATCATTAGAGGAGCCAGGATAATTAATCTAAGATTAATAGGTTGTTTGCTGTGAATCATTTTTATGGGCAAAAAAGGATCAAGTTCAAATGCCAGTTTCCTAAGAGTAATCTCATGTCACTTAAGTCTCGTGGTCTCAATTGTCTGACAGCTCTTTGCAACTCACATGAAAAGCCAAAGTAGTGGGACCTGAATGACAGTGAGAACTTAGGGATAGCCTGAAGCTGGGGAGAGAGGAGAATTCAGGAACGGGTATGTATACAGGGACGGATTCAGACTGCTGCAGCTGTCCTGTGCATGCTTTCCACAAGTGTGCATGTGTAATAAAGGCACCTTCCTTTACTATAGATACATCAAATACTGCTCTCCCTCTTGGTTATTAAAACCAACTTGATTCTATTTTAGAAAAAGGTAATAGATTAAGGACAAGGTATCAAGGGAGTTGAATTCTATTACGTGGGATGCTTAAGGTTGGACTCGATGTGGAGTCTTCAGGTTCAAGTTAGCAGAGAAGTTTTAAACAGACCGTTCTTAGCAGGATACAGAACTGAGATAGATGGGAGCTTCAGGACATCAAGGAACACAACCGGACTGAGAACTGGCCAGTCATTGTAAATGCTACAGAGCCTCAAAGGTATTGGCAAAATACCAGACATAACTAAGACAGGGTCCTCCCCCAAAACTACTTATTTGGGTGTACACTGAGTACCACTGAAAGAGACTTGAAGAAAGACATAGCAGACACATGACAAACTGCATCACAGAAGGGTCTCTAGGAAACCAAGGCTCTGTAAGATGTCCCGTATTAGAGAAGAGAGTCAAGAACTTCCCAGCTATCATTTAGTGGGCCAACTCAGCAACAGCACTTTAGAAGAAGAAAATTTCACTGCTCCCATGAACAAGACAGCGGGCTTTCCTCCCTGTGTGTTTTATTTTCAACAGCCAGACTCAGTGCTTGTTGTAACCAACACATTAGTGAAACCACACAGTTTGAACAACAACTCGCTGACTTCTAAAAGCACAGAGGTAAGGACAACAGTGTGTTGAACTTAAACAGTAGCTAAGCAGTTCTTCTACACATCTAAGCAAAGCAGGGATCTGTATTCCCTGCCTCTGTGGGTACGGCTTTTTCAGCTGGGTTGTTCTGAATATCAATCTAACCTCAATGTGGTTTCAATTATGAATTACCAGACCAAAAAAAGCCTTGATTTATTCTATTTTGCTCCAATTATTCATGATAAGTTTCTATTGAATACTTTGAGAAAGTATTTCATCATGCTTCCCATTCTCAAGTGGTCATAGGGCAAAACCAAAGGAATTAACCCTCTCTACCTCTCCAGAGCCAACCACAGTGCTTACACTCTGCAGAATCACAAGCCAAGGTGCAGTGGCCACCATTTCATGTTTTGATGAAGATTAGAAACCCTCCTCAAAAACATTTTAGCCACAAGACACACAGGAGTTTCTACTTATTCCTTCCTAAGTGATGACATCTGATACTGTCATGAATCGTGAATTTTGATTGCCAAAATACATCACGTAACTATAACATTAAGTTATTCAGCATCTTTTGTTTGTTTAGCTGCTTAAAACTAATCAGCTGTCTGAGCCCTTCTGACAGAATCTGTTGGCCGAACACACTCTTTGATATAAAAACTCAGCTTCAGGCTCATCTCTTCACCTCCTTAATTTCAATAATGTGTCAAAGGAATAGATTTGCAGTGAAAAGAGGAGAATAATCAAGAACTGAGTTCATATTTACAAGTTGCCATAATACTTATGCTTTTTGGAATCTCTCCATCAATTTTATTGCCATTCTTTTGTAAGAATAAGAATAATA